CCCAATGTTTTGAATTTTATGCATATGACCGAGATTTTTTGTAAAACCATGCTCAACTGGGATTCTAGCACATTTTCCCAGGTTTATCATAAGGCAAACTTTCCATCTATATTTTATCTTTTGAAATTTCCAGTTTATTGTTCTGTTGCATTATTTTTGTCACGAACGACGGGGGAAAAGGCCCCCGGTATACATATACAGCCGACTGTCTTTGAAAGAGTATGTTTACATGTTTCTATTCATTTTCTATAGTTAAATTACATCTATATAAATACTAATATAACGAAAAGTTTTGTTATACGATTGAATCATCTCCCCTACTATGACGTCATAATGTAGCACTGATTTAGTCAAGGTAGAATATTTTGTATGCTTCCTTATCACCCCTGCGCGTTCATCTTTCCTATTATCTGTTTTCCTTTCCCATTCTGTGTTTCATAAATCAAATGACGTATTTTATTGCGTCGAAATCATAATGATATCTAACTCAAACACAAGCCGATATTTAATACATTTTTCTTCATTGTTTTATTACATGTATTATTATTTAAGTGCAAAGCGATAGAAGTAATATGTGTTAATTCGTGCTATCTGGACGAATAATTAATAGCTTTGTCAACAACATGCGTTTATTCAATACACATACAACATAATAATTCATACATCGAACCCGACCCGAATTCCGAACCCGTTCCAAATATAGTATATAGGATTTCATCAACATCCCCTTTTCTTTAGAAAATTTGTCAAAATTTCTTTCAAAACATCAAATTTCATAAACAAGTAAACTTTCATCATTTTACACATAAAATGAATAATGCACTCATCTAGCACAAAATGTCACTGAAATGTTCAGTATCCGACCTATAGACACAAAATGATCAATTGCAATTTACATGTACACAATGACTAGAAAATCAAACGACTAAATGACTAAATATCTTAATACAAAGTCCATTAACCAGTAATATAGTCTTTCAGATAAGCTGGTTTTCTCCTTTCGCGCACAGGTCTTCCTTCACGGATCAGTTCACTTGGCGTTGGTACGGTAAGTTCAACGAACGGTGTTTCTGGTGCGCTTACGCTAACGGTAGAGGTCGGATTGTTCACTGGCTTAGAGTCTGTTACAATGTTTCTCTGACCGCCTGAATTATCATCTGGGACTGAACGCATCGGTGAGCGGTCACGACTGTAGAAATTGACTGCGGTAGGTCGCACATGAATTCTGTTTCTACGATAAGTGGTTCCATTCTGGTCCTTACGAGTATGTCCTTGGTCCAAGAATGCCATTAATTTCCCCGAGTCTCCAGTTGCGTCCCTCTAGATGCGGGAAAGATACTGCTTGACCAACGTCCAATTCACTCTGCTCGCGAGACATCCTGTCAAACGATTTCTTTACTGTCTGTCTGCATTGATTCCTCTTCTTGATGAATGCATCAGTATCTGGTTTCTCGAGTTTCTGTGGAAAATATGGAATCATGCCACGCACTTTCCTGTTAAACATAATTTCTGCAGGACTCATACCAGTATCCTGTTTTGGTGTATTTCTTTGCTTGAGAATTGCTTGGTACGGTAAGTTCAACGGACGGTGTTTCTGGTGCGCTTACGCTAACGGTAGAGGTCGGATTGTTCACTGGCTTAGAGTCTGTTACAATGTTTCTTTGTATGCCGCCTGAATTATCATCTGGGACTGAACGCATCGGTGAGCGGTCACACTGTAGAAATTGACTGCGGTAGGTCGCACATGAATTCTGTTTCTACGATAAGTGGTTCCATTCTGGTCCTTTACGATGTATGTCCTTGGTCCAAGAATGCCATTAATTTCCCCGAGTCTCCAGTTGCGTCCCTCTAGATGCTGGAAGAATACTGCTTGACCAACGTCCAATTCACTCTACTCGCGAGACATCCTGTCAAACGATTTCTTTACTGTCTGTCTGCGTTGATTCCTCTTCTTGATGAATGCATCAGTTTCTGGTTTCTCGAGTTTCTGTGGAAAATGTGGAATCATGCCACGCACTTTCCTGTTAAACATAATTTCTGCAGGACTCATACCAGTATCCTGTTTTGGTGTATTTCTTTGCTTGAGAATTGCTTCATAAGGATCAGTCTTCTCAACTTCACATTTCCTTAACAAATTTCTTCATGATTTTAACAGCTGACTCGGCCTTGCCATTGGCTTGTTGATGCATCGGCGATGATGTCATGTGAGTGATACCCCACTTCTTTGCAAAATCTTGGAATTCTTGGCTTACAAACTGTGGTCCTCCATCAGACATGATTACATTTGGAATTCCAAATCGAGCAAATTGTTTCTTGAGTAAAGCTATTACTCTGGAGCTTGTCAAGATGTAAGCAAATCAATTTCGATGAAACTTGAGAAATAGTCAACTGCAATCAAATAATGCTTTCCATTCAGCTCAAACAGGTCAAGTCCTATTTTCTGCCATGGAGTAGATCCTTCTGCATGCTGCATCAATGGAATATTTTGGTTCTTTGGTTTACTTTCTTGACATATTGAACAACAATCGGCCAACTGCTTGATATCTGATTTCATTCCAGGCCAAAATATTGTTCCTCTTGCCCTCCCCAGCATGCTATCAGATCCAAAGTGAGCCTTGTGAAGTCTGGCCTTCATTTCATTTCTCAAAGATTTAGGGATAATCACAGCTTCCCCTTTGAGCATAAGTCCATCACTAAATGATATAGTGTCTCGGAAGTCAAAGTAATGGCGAATTCTCTGTGGCATTTCAAGTTTCTGCTCCGGTCATCCGTTCATCACGGCTTCCTTGAGAATTGCATTTCCTCGTCAATCTCTGTTGCTTCCTTTATTTCACTTAGGCGAGCATCAGGAATATCACATGGTTCGTCACTCTTCAAAGCCATGATTCTAAGTCTTTCATTAACATTACCCTCCTCACTCTTCAGATATGCGCGACTCAAAGTATCTACTATTAGGTTAGTTCCCTTGACATATACAAAGTCAAAATCATACCGGTTCCATCTCATCATGATGTCCTGTAGTCGCTTCGGTGAAATTGCAAGAGGTTTCTTCAGGATGGCCTCTAATGGTTTATGGTCATTCTGTATCGTCACATTACGGCCATATGTATACTGGTCAAAACGTTCCAGACCGTATAACACTGACAACGCTTCTTTCTCGATCTGCGCCCAGTTTCTCTCGGACACTGTCAGTGATCTAATCATACTCCACCGGTCTACCTTCCTGCAGGAGAACTGCACCAATGCCGTCTTTACTACTGTCCACTTGTACTACTACTTCCTTTCCAGGGTCAAGTACGCTAGTACAGGAGTTTCTGTCAGCATCTTCTTGATTCTCTGAAATGCTGCTTCACAGTCTTTAGACCAATGCCATGCCTTATCTTTGCGAGTGAGTTCTCTGAGTGGCTCCATTATGGTAGATAGGTCTGGAAGGAACTTTGCCAAAGTACTGGACCATGCCACACAGTCTCTTGATTCCTGTTACATCAGTAGGAGGTTGCATTTCATTGATGGCTTTTACTTTCTTGTCATCAATTTTCACTCCATCTCTGGAAATAACATGTCCATGAAATGAGATTTCTTTCAGTCCAATCTCTTGTTTTTCTTTGTTCAAGATGATGTGTTTCTCCTACATCTCTCCAACACTTTTCTCAGTTTTAAATCATGGCTCCATGAGTTTGAATTTCTCACAGCCCGCTATGATGATATTGTTCATGATATGCTGAACACCTGTCATGTTTCCAATACTTTGTCCAGTTTCCTCTGGAATATTTCACTTGATAACTTTCTAGTCTGAGGTAGTCTCGCCCATCTATACCTTCCAAAAGGAGTTATCATTGTCAAATCTGCTGGATTCCTCGTCCAACTTCACATGCCAAAAAGCCTCTTTGACTAAGTTTTGTGAAGGTTCTGGCCTTACTGAGCTGTGAAGAATGTCATCAAGAACAGGTAAGCGATAATGTTCTCTGATCAATGCTGTGTTGAGTGCTTGTGGGTCAATACACAACTTAGCTTGCCGTTGGCTTTACGAGCAATAGCCATCTGGCTGACCTATGGAGTAGGCTCTGTGATCGGAATAAGTACTCCTCTATCTTCAAGCTTCTGAAGTTCCTCACGTACCAAACTCTGAAGTGCGATAGGGATCTTCCTGCAGGGAAGAGTTTTGGGTTTCACGTTTGGGTTGACATGTAGATGCGCTGTTCCCAAATCACCTAAGTCACTGCTTGAAACACTGGCTATGAATTTCTCATTATTTATGGTAATCAACTTCAATTTCTGCACTGCTTCAAGTCCAAGTAAACATGTGTAATGGTTTGGAACAACAATGAATCTGAGTTGATACTTCTCATTTGTACGTGGATTGACGACTGTCAGATCTGCTTCACCAAGCGGTTTCATGTTTGTCTTGTTCCACATGTTCAAGTGGATTTTAGTGGGCTTGCATTGCTCCTTGCGGACATAACGCTGAGAGATTGTATTCACATCTGCGGCGCTATCGAGTTGAAATCTAATGTCACACTCATTGATACGCATTATTGCAGTCACTTCTTTGCCACCAGAACTTACGGCTTTTAACCATTGGTCCTCGTTGAATTCTTCTTCCTGACAGACTGAATGTATCTTCTTACACTTTGCTTTGAAGTGATTCCTTCCCCCACATTGTTCACAGCACTTTCCCCATGCTGGACACTTTTGTTTTCCTGGTTCGTGTTTGTACCCACAGAATTCACAGTCCTTTTTCTTATACGGAGTTTGTTTAGTCTTTGGAATTTCCTTCTTTTCTTGTCTTCTGTTTACTGTGCATGTACTTGTCAGATTTCTGTAGCTTGTTCACTTTCAGAGTGGTTTCACGTAGTTCCTTCACGTGTCTGTTCGATTGTTCATACGCCCAACATACTTGTATAGTTCTGTCGAGTGTGAGTTTGTCCTCTCTGAGTAGAAGTTCCTGTAACTTTCCAGTGACCTTGAACACTATTTTGTCTCTCATCATTCTTTCAGGTTCTTTAAAGTTGCAAGATGCTGCACGGGTCTTCAGGTCTGTGAGAAAACTGTCAAATGGATCTTGGTATGGGAGCTTCCAAAATCTGTGTGATTCAAGTACCTCATTTGATCTGGGGTTACAATAAGATTGTAATTTCTCAAACAGTTTTTCAGGGTCATTCTCGTCGTTAACATTGTCCCATTTGAATTGGTCATAAATTTCTACCACGTGGGGGCCTCCAACTGAGTATAATGGCTACCTGCACTTCTTTGGCCTTCTCTAGGCCACCGGAAGCTGCGAGATACACCTCGACCTGTCTTTTTCATTTCTTGTAATTTTCTGACACATTTCCTGTTGTTAATTCTAACTCAGGCGGTAATCGAAAAGGGCAGTTATATACCTGCACTGGGGTTGGTTCTGCTTCGCCCATGTTTCGTATATGCAAAATGGCGGATGCACGTGGTTGCACAAAAAGTCAAACTTTACTGGTACAAATATCAGTTAGAAATAATCAAAGTCACCTTTTGCCTGCTTATATGGAGCGTTGAGACGTTTTCAGAGTCCACGCACCGCTGCATCCATGTTAATTCGTGCTATCTGGACGAATAATATCAAGGTGTGTCGATCAACAACAGGCATTTATTCAATACACATACAACATAAAAAAGCATACACCGAACCCGACCAGAATTCCGAACCCGTTCCAAATATAGTATACAACATTTCATCAACAATATGTACATATGTATTAAGTTTCGACGTTTTTAAACGGAAACGGGGATGCCATTGTTTTAAAATTGTAAGAGGACAAGCCATTTAAAAAAAACTCCATTGACCGGTCAATCCAATGGTGTGAAAAATTTAAGGTATGAAGAATTTCTAAGATGAAAGGTCTGTCTGCCTTTGATGTTTTTTCCCTAGAAGACAAATTAAGTGTTAATGAAATGAATTTCCAATATGTTGTGCTTGACATTGCTAATAAAATCGGAGCATCCTATGGAAATACTGATAGTTTTTTTTGAAAATTGATTTTCATATGGAAAATGAAAGTGTGATATGATACCTTAACTCTTCTTTAGAACAAAAATGGAGAGGAAATAAAGTGTTCTGTAGATTTTCCAACTAGATTTGAGTTTGGGGTTCACATTCCTTCTATAATGTTAGGTGACATATTTAATTTACGGGACCTCAAAGTTTCTCCCTAAGTTTTAAATTGTCTATGTTAAGTAAGCTTGTTATGACCTTATGGTCATTGAAACGAGATGAAAATTTCCAGGATTGTTACAAAATACTGTCTCTTATAATCGACTCTTGCGTTTGTTTTCTCCTCATCACGAAATAAAAGAGAGAAATTCCACGAATTTTTTTAAATAACTCTGTTACATTCATTATAGAATAATATTTGATGATTGGAAATTCATGAAAATTCATTAAACTAATTTCAAGAAATTTTATCAAAATATTAAATCAGACATATCTTAAAAATTTAAGACCCAGACTTATGTTTATGTGGGTACAGTCCACTAATTGTTTTCCCATAGGCGACAATGTTAACGTTTCTTCTCATAGCGATGTCCCTAATTTTCGTTCGGTAGTGAGTGACCCCTCAAATCAAAGCACATCAACTTGTCTTTCCTTGGTTAAAATCTCGAGGTGGCATGTCAGATTTGTTTTCCGGCAAAATGCGTCTGTCTGCGGGAACCTCTAAAAATGAAAGTGAAAGTAGGGGAATTTCAGATTTCTCACTGGCGGTATAATACACAAAATAATTCGGCTGATCTTCTTGATAAATTACATTTTCAAAGCTTTTTTGGTAGGAAAGATACTCCTTATCAACAAGTGTAAGGCTCAGTTAAGTACACCTGCCCAATTTTTCTTATGCAAGTCTGCAATTTAAGGAACTTGTAATTTTTTCTGCACTACTTTCTTCTCCTACCGATTCTAAAAATAATTAGTGGGATGTACCCAATATGAAAAAGCATTTTTTTTATTTTACAATATTTCACACTGTTTGTCAATCTAGAGCATAAGTAGAGACATCATGCCAAGTTTCATGAAAATTCAACAATTAATTAAGATTTTACAGCATTTACAGTTCTATGTGTAATATCCTTAAAAAATGCTCCAACTAGCCAAAACTGCACCCAAGTTTTGAGTC